TTACCAGCAAATCAGGTGATTCTTCATCAAAGGCAAAGAACATTCTTGATAATTTGAAGTCACTGGAATTTCTCATTTACATGTGGTTGATGAAGATTGTGCTGTGCTTGGTGATTGCTTCCAGGACAACACCACCACAGTTGACATGATACCAGTGAGAATGAATGCAGCATGCCTCAAGCTTTCTGAGACAGACACTGAAGCCATGGCGTACAAATTTGTCACTGAAGAGCTAGCTGATGGAATGTACAAAGGTATAAAGTTGCAGACAAAGAGGGGCAGGAGCAGTAACTCTAGTTCTACCACGTCCAGTGTTACAAAGACTGTAGTTGCAGAAGTGCAGTCTATTGCAGCCAAAACAGCTGCAGCCCTCTATGCCAAAATACATGAATTTGAAGGAAACAGAGGTCTGATGGAAGCTTTTTATATCTTTTCCCCAGTGAACTGGTCAGATGATAGGGCATCCTTTGCTACATATGGTACCAGTGAGGTCACTGAAATAACCACACATTTTTCTGGTCTTCTTCAGAGGAAGGGCAAACATAAAGATGCATGCATTGATCTCCTTTTGGAGGGATCAACTTTGCTTAAAGGGAATAAAGATCTCACCTTTGTAGACCTGTGGTCCAGAATGATGAGAAATGAGAAGCTGCAGCAATCTAGTAGATATGTCAATCTTCTTGCTCTTGTAAGGATTTCCTTGGTGTTGGCTGTGTCTTCAGCTGATTGTGAGAGGGTGTTTTCTGTGATTGGGAGGGTTAAAACCAATTGGAGAGCAAGGTGAAAATACTGTCCAATTGATGACTGTGGCTCAGTGCAGAGTTCCCTTAAAGGACTATGACCCAAAGGCAGCCATTGCCCTACGGCATACAGGGCGGAATAGGGCCAGGAGATGGACCACACCCTATGGACCCAGAACAGCTTCATCTTGAGTAAACATTATGACAGTCATTTGACATGTATTTGAATTATTATTAATGATTAAAACAGTTAAGAAGCCAATATATTTCCTGGCACACCTAAAAATGTGATGGCACACTTAATTTTGCATAACTGTGCCCATTTAATTTCAATCCCTGTAATGATAGTTATAAGTTGACTTATACAGTTCCAGATTCATAGAAATACCCTTGTTAATGTTTCAGTGAGTATTTATATGACCCTGCATACGTCAACCACAGTATTTTCTGGTCCCATCTGCATCTGTTTCTGTAAAGTTTTCTTCCTTTTAGCAGCTTCTTTCAACTCTGCTTTTGGCAGAGATTTCTTATGTAAATGGAATGGTTTAGTTGCTTTTGATTATATAAAGTAGCAAGCATGCCCAAATCCATTTCGATGCATTTTGTGTGAGATTTAAGTGAGCACCAAAAGTATGGTCTAATACTAATTACCTATGGGAGCTTATAGTTGAACAGTTTTGAATGGGACCATATTCATGTGGGTTCATGTTTGTGCATTTGTTGAGTGGGAACCAGGGAAGATTAAATGGTTTGTTCTGGGCAGAGCTCTTCACTCCTCTTCCTCATGATCCAGTCACGACAACATGGCAGTCGTATAGGACAGAATGGGGTCCACGAAGTCGATGTCCCTCCTCTTTCTCACTCTCAACTCATGGACTTCCTCAACATCCACGCCTGGGGTCAGCATATTCCAGGGGTTTCCAACATCATAGCAGACTCCCTGTCCCAACACGACAGACCATCACCGACCATGTAGTCTCTTCACCCAAACATTGTTCCATTGAATTTGCCAACTTTATCGGGCCCCAGAAGTAGACGTCTTTGCCACCTGCTTCAACGCTCAGCTATCCCGATTTGTGTCACCCATCCCCGATCCTGCTTGGGATCACATTGCATTGGCAAAATCGTGGGAAGGTCTCAATGCCTAAGCCTTTCCGTCGACAAGGATCCTTCCACAGGTCCTGCAGGAGGTAGCTGCCACCGGTCACCTGTCTCTGACTATGGTCGCGCTTATTGGCCAATGCGCAGTTGGTTTCCCACTTTGCTGAGGCTCGCCAACAAACATTTTAATCGTCTTCGCTACGAGACAACCTACTTTTTCAGCCTCACTCTCAGTGGCTCCATCCATCCCTTGTAATGCTCCATCTCTGCATTTTGCACATCTGCACAAGTCCTTTATCACCAAAGGCTACTCATCATTCTAACAACGCGTGTGATCTGACGTTGATTAATGAATAATTTGCATACTTGTATATGCAAGGGGCCGACGTATGGTTCTCAGTAGGAAGTGACAACTTGGAGATGATGGTTTGCGGTATATACAGTTTTACTTATACATGCAGATATATACATACAAAAGACACTATGTGCCAGGTCAGCACATAGTGTTAGTGCTTGTTGTCTTGGTGCCCTGGAGCACCCAGCCTAACCCTAGCTAGGCTAAGGGTAAGACCTTTCTTCTTTTTCCCCCCCTTCTTTTCAATATATAAATAATCTCTCTGGACCAAGGCTTATATAACCGAGGTCACCTGACATTGAGTAAGTAATAAATATAAATGTAAACAGTAATTCATCAGTGACATACTTGCACATCTCGTTCAGGATGGCAGACGGTCGATGTACACAAAAAATGGGGATTAACAATTAGGATTAGCATCTTATAAATAACAGCAATTAAGTGTTTCAAGGCATATAGATGTCATTGCTCCAGGGTAATGAGCCTTTGCAATTAAATGTTCTTCAGACAATGGGTGTCGTAAATCAGTCGCTATGACAATTCATCTCCCTTGCGCCTTTATGATCACAAGTGGACAGCCATTGAGACCTTTTGTCATGCCCGTGAAATTTCAACTCCTACCTCGGCAGATTGCTGAATATTAACCTCACCCGAGTTCGACCTAGAACCTGAAGAGATCCACATTAGCTCTGTTAGCAAATGTTTCCTACATTAGCTCATCCGCTCATATAAACTGGCAGACCAATCCTCTCATTTTCAACCCCTTTCGTGGGACCTGAATGTTCTTTTACAACAGGGATCACGGGTGGCACAGTCACCTAAGGCACCGCGATTCGCTGTGCGGAGTTGCGTCCCTTGGGCACGCCAGAAATCTATGATTGTGGGTTCGAATCACGGTTCACCCCGATTATGTTTCTAGTTTTGTCAGCACCATACCTGTGCTCGTGGGTTTCGCCGAAGTGGTAAACGTCTGAGACCTGCATCACCTCTGGCTTTCCTCCCACATTAAGCTGACACGCCGCGATATAACTGGAATACTGTTGAAAGCAGCGTTAAATCCAACTCACTCACTCACTCACTCTTTTACAACATCTGGTTTCCTGCAATAATGAGCCACTGGCAGGGAAGGACTTTGAGACCGTCACACTGAAAACTGTTTTCCTGTTGGCTCTGGCTACTGCAGCTCGCTTTAGCGAAATTCATGCTTTGGATGTTCCAGTTTGAGAGATCGGGAAATGGTTGTGCGTTCCTCGGCCTTTGTTGGGTTTTTTTATGGCAAAAAATCAACTTACCAGCCAACCTGCTTTCAATGATCCGTGCCCAGTTCTAGCACATCGACTATCTGGATGCGTCTTGCCTCCTCAGAAGCTCTCGAAAAAGACTTTTCATCCAGCTGTCGACTGCATCTACCTTGGAAAATTCCCGTACTTTAATCTCTTTTTGGAGGCGCTCCATCATCCTATGAGCATTTACTTTCATTTGGCTGCCTCCACCTACTATTTCCAATCCTCACAAGACTTGCGCGGTTCTACCTGGACTTTAGACAGTAACTGCACTCTTTCCGCTATCATGGAAGGGTGCTTCTGGAAGTCCAATACAGTTTTCGCCTCTAACTACCTTTGCGACATTTCAGTCACTGACGTCCAAGGGCTCCACAAATTCGGTCTGTTGGTGTTGGCGCGACAACTATCTTGCCCAAGTTCACGCAGATAAACTGGTATACAAGTTATACAAGTAATCCTTACATGTTTTATGTTTGTATATACAGAATAAATCATTGAACATTTCCTTTGGTGTAATGTGTTTTTTTATGTTTTTTGGTGTTTTCCCAGATGGAGTCCCTTTCGGAGGGTGGATTAGCTTGTCTGAATAGACTTCTTGGTCTTCATACACAAAGTCACCATTAGGTGCAGCCGTTAAAAAAAATGAGAACGGTGTCCTGAACCTTTATTCCTCTCACCTCTGCCTTGGGTATTTGTGATGTAGGGTTTGGTTTGATGGTCCTTGATATGGAATATTGTCGATCGTTCCTCTTTTCGCCTTGGTTTGCTTCATGCACTCGAATGTGTTTGATATCCTTGACGAAGTTTTAAAAGAGTTACCAAACCTGGCGCACTCTATTGTCTGTTGGAGATAGTGTTGTGTTTTGTTTGAAGAATTGGTGCCTGTACAGGATCGATTTTAAGTCGTCAACCTTTTCGCTTATGCGTTTACACCTACGAGGTTGTCCTATAAAGAATGATGACACGAAAACAAAAGTTTGCCATGTATTCCCGACTTCATGCTGGTTCATTTGAGTAATCTATCAGGGTGGGTAACACTGGTTGATCATGTTTTTTTCCACCTCACGAGTTCCTGTCTTTTAGGTTGTAGTCAATATGGGTTAGGGCCCACCATTTAACCATGGGATAAAATGCAAAGTGAGAGACAGATAAGTTTGAAAATTTGGAAAATTTAGTATGAATTGTATATTTTTATACTTATCCTATATCTCACACGATACGCCCTCCCAACCATCCCCGCATCCGAATTCCTAAAGCCTGAAAGCTCTGCAGAGGAGAATGAGTTGTCAGAGGTATACACATGGTCAGCTCGAGCAAGCTCCTGGACCTAACCATGGAGATCTAGGGTGTGTTCAGGTAAAAGTTTTTGTTTTAGAAGCTGGAAACATGGTTCAAGTACGTTTCCACATAGGATCGAAAAAGAAGAATATATGCAAACTGTGAGATAGGAAAAGTATATAAATATAAAATTTATACTAATATTTCCAATTGTGTTTAGCTCGAGAGAATTATTGTTTTCAGGGAAGTGAAATGGATAGAGGATGAAGTTAAAAAGGAAAACTATGACAGAAAGGACACATGTACAACAGATACAGATATGAAGACCAATGTGGATACATTGAACTTGTCTGTATTAAGCCAGAAATGTACCACAAGAACTCAAATCCAACCAACTGTGCGGCAAAATTCTGCAAATGCTCCCCAACAATTGCAACCACCATCAGTATCAACGTCTCAGATGCTGAAGAAACAATTGCAGGTTCCACCCCCAAGCCAAGTCATATTGCAGAATAGGATGGCTGATTTTGAGGATGAAGATTCTTATGCTTCGGACAATGGGAATCCAGACTCACCTAAAGTTGGGGACAGGTACTCAAATATTTACCTCACCTGGTCTGGTACTTTATACACAAAATTATTATTAAATGGCAACACCACAGATACAATCAAATCTTCATTCAGCATGTATGTATAGTTAAAATATCTTCTCAATATGTGTATCCTGGAGCATAGAATAAGATTGAGACCTCAGGTAGGTAAGAACATCTTTTCTCTTTGGAGGATCTCCAAATCTACATTGACCATGCATAAGCCTACAAAATATCAAATGAAACTGTTTTGTGCGTACACATATGACAGTGGCAAGAAAAGATAATCCTAAATCCTTGCAAGTGGCATTTCCCCCAAAATATCATCAAACAAATAGCAATCCCTGTCTTCGGAATTACAATCCATGCATCAAACATTGGGATGTGACTGTAAATCACAATAATATAACAACCCCAAGCAAAACTAGCTCCCCTCTGACTATAAATATCCCGAGTGTTGTGAGAGGCCTTTTAAAAACCGTACATAAACAAGAACACCCAAAGAGCGTCAAACTTCATATGAACTTGAATGACAAACCTTGGATACCACAAATGGCTCCATATCTAGATATAAGTCAGACTTGTCAACCTTCCCGAATTTTGCGGGAGACTCTCACCATTTGATGAAATCTCTCGCATGATAGTCTATTTCTCCCGCAAAATAGAATTCTTTATTATTTTAAAAATTTGCCTCTATTGTCCTGTGAGTAAAGACAAAGAACGGAAAGTTTACCTCCCGATCTGTTCGGTAGGCTCCCGGACTAGCAACCCTTGTCACAGCCACCAGCAGGAGGACCCTTTGTCTGGTAATTAACTGGGCCTAGATTTCCGAAACGATTGTAGCCCTAAAATTATTGTAAATTTATCGTAAGGAAATCGTAGGCTATCGTAGCATATTTTCGAAACTATCGTAGCCCTAAGATATCTTAAGATTGGCGTAAATCTAAGATAGCCCCATACCTGTCGTAAGTTTATTTTATCTTCATCCAAGATGGCGGCATACTTTTCCATAGATATTTTACCAAACAATTAGTATGCTTTACATTCAAACATTGACATTTCATTTTGTAAAACTGAGTGATTCAAATTGACACTCTCGAAAACACTCAGAACGCATCAAGGATTTCACGTAAAAAATGTTCTTAATCGCGACAGCGATCCACATAACTGTGGAGTCGATAGCTTACAATATATTTCTATCAGAGTCCATGCTGAAGTAGTGTGAAACAACATACCTTTTCGATAATTTGGGAAGGATAAAAACGGAAGGAGTCGGCAGGCTACAGTTATGACCGTGACCTTATTGATAGCTCAGAGGGAGCTAAACTTAGTTCAAACTCTAGTTGAGAGTGGTTTCCCTTTGTATTCGCCCGGGACACCTTGCTCAATGTTACAATTTTCATAAAGCGCAGAGTTCCGCTGTTATATTTTCTGGATCGCATTTGTGTCGATGCTTTAGTTTTTATTTTCGCATTTTATAAAATTATATCAATCTACATATGTAAAAAAAACCATGAAGGTTTCGGATAAGTTTTTACATCCAAAACGTATGGGACGGGTGGTTTTAATAATTGAATTTTGACTATACAGTGTAGTATTTATTGACTTAAATACATGTGATCAAATATTTGTATACAATATCTAATATTTTTCTTGCAAAAGTAATTGTAAATTGTTTCGTTTTAAATTCAATACCTATGTTATCTATATCCTCTTGAAAGACAAATATTTGATAAAAAGTGATTAAAAACTGTCTGTTGAACAATTGCATTCTTTAAAAACAGGTGATTAACAGCATATAGATGTATTCTATTAAATATAACAATTTACTGAAATTTTGACAGCAAAAGTTAAGCACAGATTTTCGTATCGACAAATCAAATAAAAAATGGGTTCCCATGCTCGTTCTGGTTCTCGTCAAAATGTAGCATAGTTTGCACATTGTCCAAAATTCACTTTCCAATATATGTTCACAGAAAAAAAGCTTACTGAATGAAATTTACTGATCAATATAAAATACACATTTTCAACACAATAATCTTTGCATTAAAAAAACCGGTTTTAAAATATTTTGGTCTTTTTAATATTTAAGTCTACATCTTCCCGTTTCATGTTTTAAAAAAATATAGATATACTTGAGACCATTCAGACAATAAAATCATTGTAACGTATAGGGTCAACGGACAAATACTAGTAAATGATCCTCAGCAATTCTGTCAGACAAGCCAAACATCATTGAACTACGTTCTGGGATAGATTTGACACATTACAAAGTATTTCGCTCCTCAGCCAGATTTAAATGAAATCAGACAAACCAGTTTATTAGCACTATTTAATTTAAAAGGATAGAAAATGACTACATTATATGTATGTTCACTTTAATTTGTGGCGTGTTCCATGAGACAACATAACTTGACAATTCCTAAATTATCTCTCTTTGCGAACGAAAATTAGTGTCACTTTTAAATTTTGAAAATAGTTATGGATCTAGATAGATAAAAAAATAATTTCATCATCTAAATACTAATAGCTTGATATTGTATTTAAGTCCTTGGTTAATTCGTGAAATATATTGGATACATAAGTAACAAAACAAACTTAACAAGCTTAGATTGTCATAAAAACTTGCTTGTGGGTGCGCTGCTTCCTGAACAATTTTTGTTTTGAGTGTTTCCATGTATAATGTAAACTTGACTTTTGACATAAACATAAAAATATACAGTATACATCACTTAACATCAGACTTGAACACGCATGTTAAATGCTGAACGCATATGCAGTTCGATCAAAGGTCTCCTCATTGTCATTTAGAATAATGTCCCTTACTTGCGTCCTTGACTTTGTACGCGATGTGTTTATATCATACAGTTCTGCGCGTTCACGAGAGGACCATTTGAAGGGAAAATAGTGAAGTATGTTTTCGCACATTATTTCAATTCTAATAGCTAAAGTGTGGTAACACTACACTTATTGATTGTAACATTTATTGGTTTTGAAAAATGCTGTTGCATGGCACACGAATGCTTTTTGTGTTCGGTTAGTCATGGCATCTTTTATCATAAGAACAAAATGTCTACATGTAGGATTGTACAGAATTTCACTCAATTATGTGCATGTTAAACAATGTGACCTGACAATGTGATCATGAATTCCCTGTCACTTATATATGTTATTGTTATTGTCAGCAGCTGGGAAATCCAGTGACGTCATTTGGAAACACCCCGCTTTTTCAATCTCTAACACAAATGAGTTCTCTGTCAGAGTTACAATAGGTATCATAACTCTGAATGATCTGCGACAGGTTTACGATAGTTTTATGATAGTTTCAAAAATCTATCTTATCTTAACCTTAAGATATCTTATCTTTGAACGTAAGTTGTTAAGATTTATCTTAGCTAAGATGGTTTCGAAAATCTCGGCCCTGGTGATTAAATCCATATGGTGAACGATTTAACAAGGTAAACTGTAAAGAAAACTCGGATAGTCCTAACCGGTGTCTGAAGGGTTGAACTTTAAATGAATAATCAGCCGACCACTTATCATTTCCTGAACTGTTATCTTATCTTCATGTTCTTACCGTGTTTATTCCTCCCTAATTTAAGAACGTAGATACAAATGGCCGGCCCAGTTTATTTATTTGTTATCAGATTTGTCAGAAACTTGTAAAAACATCAATATACCTCATCAAAGTTACATCATTAAACTCTCTGAAATGAAAACAAGATATGACCTGCAAATGCCGTCTTCAGAAACAACACTATGTCATGTGTGATTGGTTGATTTTGTAGTTGAAATAACAATGAGTTACACAATCAGACTTCCTCATTGCTAGAGTTTCAAAGTCAAAGTTTTAAGTGAAACTTATAAATATCATTTTGACATTGTGACTCGTGTGCACAGATATATCAACACACAGAACTGTATCAAATTTCGCGAGAATGTATCATGTGATCATTTTACACGATTTGATTTGGTACTAGTTTGCTAGCATTCCAGATCGGCAATCTAATTTGTATACAACAGTACGTGTCAACCAATGAGATTAATACACGTGAAGGTCAGAAAGGTCAACATCGACATAATTTTCAATATTTATTGTTGATTCTCCATATTAAGTAGAACATGAAGTCATAAATGTTTTTATTAAATTAAGGATGGAAGTTGTATTTGTTGACGTTCATCAGCTGATGAAGACAGTGACTCACGTGAGCAAATTCCATGATGTTTTGCTCACGTGAGGCATTGTCTTCATCAGCTGATGAATGTCAACAATTACAACTTCAGTCCTTGTATTGACAGATACATAAATCATAACAAAACAATCCATTAAACATCAAATTTTGATTTTATAAAGCTTAACTATATCAATGCGGAGAGTTTTGACGTCCCTTGGTTTTAGAAACGGCAGAAAATGGTGGCTTCGGCAATGTCATGCACTTGAAATAAATCTTGCACCCACTAAAGTTAAAGTTTGATTGAAATCCCGATCCGGCTGATGCTTAGATTGGATTGATATTAACATTCTGTGAACTTTGGGTGTGTGTTTGAGTCAAACAACGGCTGCTGAGGTGGCGCGGTTGGATTTCCCGAAGCAAAACAGGACAGTGTGGAGCTCGGTGATTTCTTTTGTTAAGTCGAGTATTCTCTGTTGTAGTTTTGAATGGACGCTTCATTTTGGTGACCCGACATATAGATGATCTGTCTGGCTTCAAAGTCTGTATCAGTCATAGCCTGAATCGGTGTCGCTCTCAGACAGTTTTCCGGTAGACAACTACACAAAAAGATACCTTTCAAACTAGTTTTCCCTAATGATTTTTAATGTTATTTTTAGACATTGAGGAATTCCCCTAAAGATGTTATGTATGTCTCCGCTCGATTGACAACGTAATTACGTGACATACTGACGTTAATCGGGAAATGAACGACAGTCAGCTTGGCAGTTTTCACGTAGGTGAAGTCACCCGCTACTGTCAATATGCTGCTTTGTAACCCACAAGTGGG